TGTAATGTATGTGTGTATGTATGTATGTTGTATGTATGTATGCATGTATGTATGTATGTACGTATGTATGTATGTATGTATGTATGTATGTATGCATGTATGTATGTATGCATGTATGCATGTATGTGTATGTAGTAAGTAAGTGTAGTAAGTAAGTAAGTAAGTAAGTAAGTAAGTAAGTAAGTAAGTAATGTAATGCATGTAATGTATGTACGTATGTATGTATGTGTGCATGCATGCATGCATGCATGCATGCTTACATACATGTATGCATGTATGTATGTATGTAATGTATGTATGTATGTAATGTCATGTAATGTCATGTAATGTAATGTAATGTACTGTACTGTAATGTATGTATGTATGTATGTATCCTTGCACTTCCCCTTTGCTCCCCAGTATTTCCCGCAAAAAAACACGGTTTTTCCAGCGTTTTCGCAAAGAGGACGTCCAAAAACATTGAGTTTTTCCAGATTTTCGGCAAAAGGATGCAGGAAGCCCAAGCCAGCAAAAAAGCCGGCAGGGGGAATCGAGCCTGGGACCCCTGTTTTGCGACACCGGCTCCCCGAAGACTACGTTTAGTGGAACGTCATCAAATTGCCGCGCGGTACGTGGGGGACCCCCCCCCCCCCCCCAAAAACCTACGTAATAGACGTCGGGCGGGGGGGGGGTTAGGGGGGGGTTATCCTCTATCCTCTAGTAAGTATCCGACACGCCGAGCAATGTCGGCGGATATATATACACGCAGTTGTTTATTTATATATGTTTATATATATATATATATGTGATGGGTGTGTCCTTGTTTGCGGGTGCTCCCTTTCTTGTGGTAAAAAGCAACACCCCCTGGACAACCACCATGGGACTCCATGCTTTGCTTTCGCGTGAAAATGCACCGCTTTTATGATGATGCTGGTGACGATGATGATGATGATGATGATGATGATGCTGAACTGACATGATAATCATCATGACGCATCCTCAGCATCACCAGCAGGCATCATGATAATCATGTCCACGCATCTTCTGCATCTCAAATCGGCTCTAACAGGACTGATGATGATGATCATGATGTTGATGATGACGGCGCTTTGATTGGCACGCTTCCATAGAACCTGCGCCCATTCTGGAGCGATCGTTTTCTTTCCTTGGCTTGGTGCATTTTTGTAATAATCTGGTAAGAAAATGCGCCGCTGTAAGCCAACCAGTTTTCTCGCCCTTATTGTAGCCAGGGCGCGGTGCATTTTTGCTTTGCTTTCGCGTGAAAATGCACCGCTTTTATGATGATGATGATGATGATGATGATGATGCTGATGCTGAACTGACATGCTAATTATCATGACGCATTCTCAGCTCTTTGCCAGAACTAGCACTCCAGAGCATGACTGGAACCTACAATACACGCAAGCGGGTGACTGTGCATTTTGGTCACTTTCAAGCCTACGTCATGCCTTGGCAACACACATGCACATTCTAGCAGAGCACATGTTACGCTTGCGTTGTAGTTCTTTAGCGAGGAGATCTGCTTGTGACGTTCAAATTATAAGTGGCTTGCTTGGAAGCTCTGAGTGCTGGGTACAGGAACGATTCTACTGCGCCCTCAGCTGTTGCCGAACTCCCCAAGCTTAACCTCGCCCCACACTGCCAGCGCATACCCACAAGAGTGCATAAACTTGCGAATCGGCTTTGGTCGTGCTTTGGCAGCTTCGGTCGTGATTTGGCAGCTTCCGGTCGTGCTTCGGCAGCGTCGGTCGTGATTTGGCAGCTTCCGGTCGTGCTTCGGCAGCGTCGGTCGTGATTTGGCAGCTTTGGTCGTGCTTTGGCAGCTTCGGTCGTGGCTGAATATCGCTGAATATCACAGCTTGGACCGCTTAAGCCAACTAGTTTTCTCGCCGCAAGTCGGGGCCGCGATGGGTCCCTTATTGTAGCCAGGGTGCGGTGCATTCTTGCTTTGCTTTCGCGTGAAAATGCATGATGATGATGATGATGATGCTGCTGAACTGACATGATAATCATCATGACGCATCCTCAGCATCACCAGCAGGCATCATGATAATCATGTCCACGCATCTTCTGCGTCTCAAATCGGCTCTAACGGGACTGATGATGATAATCATGATGTTGATGATGATGATGAACTGACATGATAATCATCATGACGCATCCTCAGCATCACCAGCAGTCATGAGGATAATCATGTCCACGCATCTTCTGCAGTCATGATGATAATCATGTCTACGCATCCTCTGCGTCTCCAATCAGGTAACAACGATGATGATGTGATGATGACGAGCATGTCATCATCACCATGATGGCATCGTCATCATCGTGATCATCATCATCGTCATCATCGTCATCATCATCGTCATCGTCATCATGGATGATAACCATCATCCTGCATCCTCTGCATCACCAGCACTCATGATGATAATCATGTCTACGCATCCTCTGCATCTCCAACCACATCATCGACATGATGGTGGTCATCATCGTCATCATCATCATCGTCATCATCATCATCGTCATAATCATCATCGTCATCGTCATCATCACCCATCATCGTGCATCCTCTGCATCACCAACAGTCATGATGATAATCATGACTACGCACCCTCTGCATCTCCAATCCGCACTAACGCCACCCTTGAAACGTATATAAAAAGAGACAAGGACGACAACGATTATGATGCGATATACTGACAAGCGTGTCATCATCATCATCATCGTCATCATCATCAGCATCATCATCATCATCATCGTCATCATCACCGATGTCATCATGGACGATAACCATCATCGTGCATCCTCTGCATCACCGACAGGCATGATGATAATCATGACTACGCACCCTCTGCATCTCCAATCGGCTCTAAACGTATATACACAAGATAAGGACGACAACATCATGTCTACGCATCCTGCATCTCCAATCAGGTCACAACGATGCTGATTGATGATGATGAGCATGTCATCATCACCATCATGGTATCATCATCATCGTCATCATCGTCGTCCTCATCGTCATCATCATCGTCATCCTGGATGATAACCATCATCGTGCGTCCTCTGCATCACCAGCAGTCATGATGATAATCATGTCTACGCATCCTCTGCATCTCCAATCAGGTCACAACAATGATGATGTGATGATGATGAGCATGTCATCATCACCATGATGGTGGTCATTATCGTCATCATCATCATCGTCATCATCATCATCGTCATCATCGTCATCATCATCGTCATCATCATCGTCATCATCATGGATGATAACCATCATCGTGCATCCTCTGCATCACCAGCAGTCAGGATGATAATCATGTCTACGCATCCTCTACATCTCCAATCAGGTCACAACGACGATGATGTGATGACGATGAGCATGTCATCATCACCATGATGGTGGTCATCATCGTCATCATCATCATCGTCATCATGGTGATGATGACATGCTCATCATCATCACATCATCATCGTTGTGACCTGATTGGAGATGCAGAGGATGCGTAGGCATGATTATCATCATGACTGTTGGTGACGCAGAAGATGCACGATGATGGTTATCGCCCATGATGACAACGGTGATGCTGACGATGACGATGATGATGATGATGCTGCTGATGATGGTTTCATCATCATCGTGATCATCATCATCGTCAGAATCGTCATCATCACCGATGTCATTATGGATGATCACCATCATCCTGCATCCTCTGCATCACCAGCAGTCATCATGATAATCATGTCTACGCATCCTCTGCATCTCCAATCAGGTCACAACGATGACAATGAGCATCATCATCATTGTCATCACCACCGCTGTCATCATGGATGATAACCATCATCGTGCGTCCTCTGCATCACCAGCAGTCATGATGATAATCATGCCTACGCATCCTGTGCTCTCCAATCAGGTCACAGCGATGATGATGTGATGATGATGAGCATGTCATCATCACCATGATGGTGGTCATTATCGTCATCATCATCATCGTCATCATCATCATCGTCATCAGCAGCGTCATCATCGTCATCATCATCCTCATCATCATCGTCATCATCGTGCATATTCTGCATCACCAACAGTCATGATAATCATGACTACGCACCCTCTGCATCTCCAATCGGCTCTAACGTCACCCTTGAAACGTATATAAATAAAACAGATAAGGACGACAACATCATGTCTACGCATCCTCTGCATCTCCAGTCAGGTCATCGTGCATCTTCTGCATCACCAACAGTCATGATGATAATCGTGACTACGCACCCTCTGCATTTCCAATCGGCTCTAACGCTACCCTTGAAACGTATATAAAAAAGATACGGACGACAACATCATGTCTACACATCCTCTGCATCTTCAATCAGGTCACAACGATGATGTCATTACCGTCATCATCATCATCGTCATCATCATCCTCGTCATCATCGTCATCATCACCGTTGTCATCATGAACGATAACCATCATCGTGCATCCTCTGCATCACCAACAGTCATGATGATAATCATGACTACGCACCCTCTGCATCTCCAATCGGGTCTCACGCTACCCTTGAAGCGTATATGAAAAAGATAAGGACGACGACAACGATGATGCTTGATAAAATGACAAGCGTGTCATCATCATCATCATCATCTGATGTCTGGCTCTAACAGGACACTTGAAACGCACACGAAAAAGACACGGATGACGACAATAATGATCATGATAACGAAAAAGACACGTCTTTGAGGTGCAAAGGATGCTACGACGCAGTATTGCTTACGCTGATAATGTTGAATCTTCGGCTATGCTCATTTACCAACCAACCTTGGACTTGTGCTGTAACCACCCTTCCCGTGTGCCTCCCCCTTTGAGGAGAAGGGGTCGGCGGATTAAACAAACAGGAATTGGACCGCAGGTTTTAGTGCTTGGTTCCATTTGGCAGGGCAAGCCATTTTGGGTCCATAATTTTCAGCCACAGCCAAATGACCCTTAACCCTCTTCTGCAACCCCGGCCTCGTCGTCGAACTCCTGCGCCTCCTTGTAGTCCAGCTTGCGATTCAACTGCTCCTGGCTCAGTTTGGTCCGGTCAGGTGAGTCACGACCAAAACCCGGTATTGCAATGGTCACCACCGAGGTGGGTCCTCACTGATCCTTGGGCCGACCATCTCCAGCAGCTCGGCAGCCTATCACTTGGCTCTTAGCACTCTCCACCGGTTTTCAGCCGAGCAAAGTCGCGGGCCTTGTCCCAATCTTTGATGGAATTGAACTCTATCGCTGCGTCGATGAGCTGCCTGGAGGTTGCAATGCCACCGGCTCCTGGCCATTTTCAAAAACCGAATGCGAAACATATGGGAGGGGGGGGGTCAAATATGGGGGAGTTCAAAAATGGGTATCTCCTTTTTGGGCTGTGGCCTACCTTGAAAAGGCGTCCAACAAGGTGCAACCATTTTTTGCACCACCTACCAAACCAATGCGACCGCAGGCGCTCCGTACAGCTCTGTCTCTGCAATGGCCCGGGAATTGTCGCTGACGTCCAGCAGGCCTTGACTTGTAAAGTGGCAAATGCTCGACCAGAGTCACTGAGAGCCAGGCTTGGATCGGACCTCAAGACTTGCGCAAACAGCGCAACAACTTATCCCAGGTGCAGAACCTGAGATCGAGGCACATTGGCTCTTGTGGCACTTCGTTTAAATGCCCAGTCATCCTGGCGCCAGGTGCGTCAACAAGCTGACTCTCGCCGCTGCGCGCCTGGCCTGAGCTTCACCCGCTTCCTCTCTGGCCAGACCCTACATGGCGGCAGGATCTGAACACATGGGGCGAAAGCGACGGGATCTGACCATTGGTCTAGAGGACACCCGTTTATGCCAAATCAAATAGACGGGCAACTCTCTTCACTCTCACAAAGCTGAACCAATGCCTCGGCGGGCTCGCCTTCCTCCATCTGACCCTGGTCGGCCTTCCATCCCAAATCAACACGAACATGCTTGTGGGCTGCGCGGGTGTGCTCACGTCGTTGCGTGCGTGTCCGCCTTTTTCTTGTGTGTGTGGTGTCTGTGTTGTGTTGCGTTGTCTGCTTAGTGGTGTGTTTGTGTTCATGTGCGGATATTTGCGTTATTTTGTTTGGTGTGTGTGCGTGGCTGCTTAACAGCATACATACTTACCTGTCTGTGTGCGTGCCTTGTTTGTTTGTTTGTTTGCTTGCTTGCTTGCTTGCTTTCTTGCTCGCTTTTGTCCGAATGTGCTGTTTTGTGTGCATTGTTTGTGCACGCGTCGAGTGTTTGTGTTTCTTTTGTTTGTTCCTGTGTTTGTGTGTGTGTGCGCGTGTTTGCGCGAGTTTGCGTACCTCACTGTGTCCGTGTAAAAACTGAGCGTGTGAGTGTCTTGTGTACTTGCGTGTTAGTAGTGGCTTTTTGCGTGTCTGCGTCAAGCACTTGCAGGAGACAATGGAGAGTCCGAATAGTATTGTTTGGTTGTGCGCTTGGTACGCGGGTTTGTTGTCAGTGGGGATGGTGGTCTGTAGTGAGCAAAAACCGAGCCTCGTCTTTTTTGTCCTCCTTGTCGTCTTGCCGACTGTAACCCTGAGTTCTGCCCATGCAAGTGACTACATGGCAGAGTCGGAGTCCGTGGCGACGGCAGCTTTTCTACCTTTCAGAACCTGACACACACACACACACATACACACTTTCGGTGAGTGAAAACTCAACTGCGAGTCCCAGATCCTGAGGTCCTGGCTTGAATCTTGCGCTTCACCTCCATTATTCGGAGCTGCTTCTTGGCCTCGAGCTCAGAGAAACACGCAACGAACCTCGAATTTGATCTCCTGCCAGTGCCTGATCGCTCATCTTTTGCCGCCGCTGGCGGCTAGCATCGCGGCCAATGTTGATTGCAGCATCGACCGAGCGGTCGCCTTGCATCGATCGACTCCCCAAATCCTCCTGAAATGCCTGAAATATGAGACCCATTCAAATCCAAGGCGCCGTAAGGTCGAGCCCGGCGCTGAACGCGACTTCTGAGCAATTGGAACGCAGCCAGCGAAGCAGCGCTCGCGCCACACCTGTGCTGGGAGAATCAAAGTGATAATCAGTAAGAAACACATTCAAGGGAACACTTGCCTGACAGCAAACCTTGAAAGTGAGTCAGGATGACGGCATTTTGCCTGACCATGAATTTTGCATGCCGAGGGATGGGCAAAAACCCTTTAGCTCAAGATCTCGCTGGCAATCTTAGAGCTGCCACTGCAAGAATGATTTTTGCAATCTGGCATATCTTGTTTGCTTCCTTGCACTTCTGCGGCCACAGGGAGTTGGCTTGGCCGCCAGCCGCCCGCCTTGGCCAGATCTATCCGCACGGAGCCGGGCCTGGGCTAATCCGCTCGTCGAGTCCCGGCGATCGCCCGGCCTCGCCGGCACTGCGCAGTCCATCGCCGCAGGCCTTCCACAAGCCTCGAACGAGACCGCGCGCGCAAACACTTGCGATGGGAGGCGGTCCCAGGCCTGCAGCCCAGAAAAGAAAAAAGGCGGAAGCGCCGAAAAGGAAGAAGTAAGGAGAGTGCGGTTTGAAAAACCCATGAAGCCAAGGCGTAACTGGAAAACTGCTGTGGTCAAACCTTCGGGGAACCGCGAGATGCTGCGGGGGCTGAACTGTCCATCTGCAGTCAAGCGCTGTGGTATCTATTAAATTTGTCTGAACCAAACGGCTGTTCAGCACGGGCCAAGCTGCCGCACATGAGCGGAAAAAAAACAATGCGAGACCGGAAAGGCAAAAGCTGCTCGTGTTGGTCGCGTCCGAAACGAAAATCGAGGAAACCATTATATACGAAAATGATTCAGACCGGTATCCGTGGAAGATGTGGCTGCTCGGCTTTGACGTCCAAGCTCCGGCCAAGCCCGCTGAATTCTTGGCAAGCCCTCACAGCTAACTGGCCTGCGCAAATGCAGAGCTTGAGTTGTCATAAGCATCCCGCACTTTATTGCAGCTTGCCCAATTGAGGTTTCCTATTCCGCATGAAGTTGTGTTTGAGGTGCCCGTGCCTGTTTCTGCTTTTGTCGCACTTGACCTCTCGGCTGCTTGGCTTTGCCAAAGTCGCTCCTGAGGGGCCACTTCGGCAAGAGCCAAAAGCAAGAGCAGCAATCGTGTCTGAAAGCCCCAATCGTCCGTTGTCCTTTGTGCGACGGTGCAGTTGAAAACCAGCTCAGAGTTCTCCTCAGTGACCTTGGAACAGCACGCAAAACCTGGCAAACGGAATGTTCTGCTCATGGCCTTGTCCAGCGCAAAGAATCCACACCGCTCGAATTGAACCTCGGCGAGCACTGAGACCATCTCAGTTGCATCAGGACGGCGCCCGCTGAGACGCCAGCTCGAAAAATGGGATCATCTGATTCCTCCTGAGGTCCATGGTCTGATGGCATGAATGACACAACATACTTCAGAACAAGCCGCCCGCCTGATATTTTTGCCACATGGAGGTGATGCTGGGTTCGCATCGGGCACCTTGGGGAACAATGATAGACTCTCGGGCCCTGGGTCCCGCAGGCTTAGCCTCTGGCTCAGAACTTCGCAAGAGTCCGGATTCAACGCCTCCAGGAAGTCCCCCGCCTCCTGGAAACCGCACGCCAGATCCTCGCCTTCGAGAGAACAGGGCGCGAAGCAAACGACCGGCTGCAACACAAATCAACACGCAGGTGGCGAGCGACCGGCAAACGAACTCCCTCCCCCGCAAGTCCTCCGGCCGCGGCTCGGCGAAAAGTTTGTCATACATTCGAACCGTCACCGGTGTGGACCTCGACACGGCGAGCCAAACGCGAGGCACACCGAGCAGATCGAGGGCTCCGCAGTTCGGCATGCGCCCAGTGGACCACCGCCACCTTCTTTGGCGGCCTGCACTGATTGGTCGTGTTTTCCCGCCAGCTTCCAACTACGCACCTCTTCCCCAAGGACTCAGGATCATAGGAACATAGCAGCTCCGTGATCTCCCCGTCTTCTCCGCGGACCACCTGGCAAAAGAGCTCCGACCCATGGTGCAAGCATTCAGTCACAAAGCCTCATCACACTTGATGACATAGCCGTAGCGAAGCTTCACCTGTCACCCGCCATTGTGACATTCAGCCACAACCCAGCTGTCAGTCGGGGCCCCGCCTGTCTGCCCGGTGCCAAACGCTTGAACCCAGGCTCAGGTTCTTGCTGGAAGTCCTGCAAAAACCGATGTCTTTGATGGCGGCCGGGGGGTGGGGAATTCGTTCCCTTCGCTGAAAGGACACGCACCACGGTCCAAAGTCTTAGCTCTGTCCGACGGCGCCCATTTCCCTGTATCCGAGCACACCACATTTGAGCGGACGTCTATGCACTGCTCTCCTCCGCGTCCAGAAGAATCTCCTACCGAAGTCCGCGCGCAGACCGTGGATTCACAGGTGTCAAGCAAAGAGGCATCTCTGCACGTGAGCCACGATGATCACAGGATGATCTTGCATACGCGCTGTGCCAAGCTTGCAAGCAGGAGGCCGGGGGCACCCTGCAATCTACCCAAATGGCCATGTCTTGAATTTGGGACCCAAAGGGTTCCAATGGTAAAGTATCTCATTCACCCAAATCATGCCACAGCCCATCTAGAGCATGTTTTTTCTTTGGGGGGGAGCCAGCAATGCTTACCGTAGCTTACCGCTGTCCCGGCCAAAGTGCATCTTCCGCAGCTCGTCTCCGGGAACCTGAGACTGGATGGGAACTCACAAGGACCTGGACGACTCCCCAGTGTTCCAAGGCAACTGGAATGAAGCCCACCCCAGCTTTGACCCTCACTCAACAAAGGGGTACGCCACTCATGCCCGCTGAATTCGTGGCAGCCTTGCAAGTACAGCAAAACGCACCACACAGAGTGCAGGGTGTTTGATGGCAACTGGGCCAAACGCTTCTAGAAGCTGATCCTGGAAACGCCACAAGGCATCACAGGAAAACACGACTGTGAAAAGTGACAACGTGGGTCCTCACCATCCCAGTTTGTGATCGTGACCTGGGCAGAGCGGCAACGTTTCACCAGTTCACAAGCGGCAATCTTGCAATATCAGCTCTGAGCACCAGACACGTAGGGGATGCAAAACGCAAAGCGCTTTTGCGGCTACCTGTTCCTGCTGCGGGATAAACAATCAGCTTTCGTGATTGCGTCAATTGATCACAAAGCCTGTCCTACTTGCACCTATCAAACAAGCCACGCTGTTTAGCAGTTTGCAATGGTTTGCGCTGGCTCCTGCAGCACGTCTCGCACAACATTCTCAAGGAGGCTGAACTCAATGACGCTTGTGGGAACCTGCAATTCAAGACCAACTCAGCTGGCAAGGAGATGGCATCGGGAATCCAACGTCATGCTGATGACTGAAGCAGCTGCTTCCCTCATTTGTCAATCTCTGAACTTCATTGCCATGGCATCAATGTCCCAGAAAGAAGATACCCCCTTGATCAGGGAAACCTCCCAGGACCCACCAAACACCCTGCCCTTGTCCTCCATGGAACGGCTCTCTGTGCTATGCAAAATGTGTGTTTTGGCAATTCTAATTGTCGCAGCCTTGTAGATTGTGGCATCGCCGCTTGGACGCTGTTTTGTTACTCGGCTGCTTCTACAGACTGAGTTGGTTGACAATGTGGCGGCCAGCAAATGTGTAAAGGTTTTTTTTCTTTTTTTTTTTTCGAAAATTCGGGCCCTGACCATCGGAGCGCCGGCCTTGGTGACACCGATGAGCGCGCACAGCTTCCGCAAAGCTGCGGGCGGATATCCACGGCGCCTCTTACCAAAGTTTGCTCTCGTTTCCACAGTCTCTGTGGAGTGTGCGTGCGAATCTTCGGTCAACGGCCCGTCTTTTTCTTCGGATTCGGACCCCCCAAAATGGCGCAACGGTTTTCATTGGGCTTCCTTTGACAACACAAACACGGGGAACCCTCAACAGCTGGGTGCGATACCGCATGCCACAAATGGTGGGCATGCGAGGATCATCCCAGCCATCCACGAGTCCACCCTGCCGCGAGTGGCTCGTGTTTTTTTGGGAACCCCTTTGGGTTGGGCCAAAAGGAAAACCGAAACCACGTTTGGGGGTCCCAAAAAAAACACACGCGCGCGCGCTCGCTGGCACAATTCTGTCTGCATGCGATCTACATGTGCAGCACATCCCACCTCCACCAAGCGCCTCATATGCAGAGAGAACAACTCCCAAGCACTTCCATTGAAGGCCAACGACGATACACATTTCTGCGCAGCCAAGTCGCTTTAATTTCCGCTTCCTGATGCCAACAGTTCGCTTCGACTCCACGAACTGCATGAAAACTGGCTGAAAAATGGGATGCAGCTTGGCTTCGACACTACGATGTTGGTCATCTCCAGCCGTGCAAACTCGTGTTGCCTGCCGATGCGTCGCATTCTATCAGCACAAAGCCACTTGCACAGCTGGGAGGCCTTGGGAGGGCGGAGTCCGGCGACTGGCACAAAGGCAGGGAGCCAGGCAAGCGTAAAACTTGTTCGTTGAACCTCAGTTGGTGGCAGTTCCATTGCTTTCATTTTGCGCATGCCTTGATTCAATTGATTAACAATTTTCCCACCATGTGTTTCACCCCAACTCCAAAACGAACTGACCTTTCGGAAATTGCCGAATCTCTGCCACAAGCTCAGGCAACAACCAATCGTAGAGTTCCTTGACAGCAAGCAGGTTTTGTACCGTCCGGGTTGCACGGCATGCTGCCAAGTGACATTGTGCATGTTGAACTCCAAAGTGCACACAGAGTGCGTCACCCCCTGAAAGGCCAGCGCATCTTGCCGTGTACACATGAAGACTAGGTAGCATGGACAAGCTTGAAATCTGATGCACGTGTTCCACGCCTCGATAGCATCTGAAAGGCCGTGCGCCCAGTCGTAGGAGGGGTAGATCGGCCACTGGATTGCAAGGCAAATGAGTCACGATCAAAGAACAATAGGGAAAAACAACTCCGGAAACATGAAAGATCAAAACGGCGGCTGCTTCTACCAATGGTTGGGAATGCGCCCCAACCTTCATTGCCCAGGTTTGGTTTTGGGTTGATGCCAGTGACTCGCCACACCTTGCCTCCTTCCCCGTTCGCGGGTGAGGCGTGTTGGGGAGGATCCTGTACATGATGGGATCCCGCCTTGAGCCATGCGCACAATCACTTCAAAAGAAACATGCCCTCTCCCCCTTGCTTCCCGTGAGGAAGCATCAAAAAATGTTGCCTTCCCACGTTCAAACAATGCATCATTGAGCACGATCACCTAGTTGATGGTTCTGTGGCGGTTCCTGGGATTCCTGAAGTCCCTATGAGGCACCATCGCTTTCCTGTGAGGAAGGAACCATTCGATGTCGCCATCTCCCCCGTGTCCCGTGGAAGTGGAAGGTTGGAGCTTCCCCAAACATACTGTTAAAGGCAAAATCCTGCACCACCTGAGAAACGCTGAAATCATGATTCCCCTGTAAATGCCAACCAACAAAGGCTTCCTATGGTTTCAAAGTGGTGCGAAGTGGATTTCGCAACCATCCACAGCAGCTCTGAGCCCCCGGGCATGATCACATTCGGGTGGCCCATGTCGATCTTGGCCCGCAGCACCGCGGAGCCCTGAAACGGGCCAGACATGTCTCGTGCTCCCCATGAGAAGGAACAAAACAAGCGGCCCTTCTAGTAGTTTTTTTGTTGAAGGAAACATTCGCCAGAACATGGCTTTGAACTGGTCACCCTGAATGGCAACTGAGCAGCAGCCATGACCATGGGTTGCTTGACTGGCTGGAAACTGCGCACTATCTCATCTGGTGTTGAAAGGAAGATATACTATGCAAGATTCAGTTTCCTTCTGAATATACAAGCTGGTCAAAACAGGTGAAGGTTGGAACATCTAAATTCCACATAGCTCGCAGCAGCTATCACCATTGGCCACTGGGTTTCAACCATGACTCACATTTTGGCAAAGGGAGTGTGCAAGAAACACTAGGGCTGTATTAGACACATGTGTTGTGCAGGTTTATTGGGGATCAACCCAAACCGTATTTGGAACGGTCTTCAAATTTCACAATCCTTGCACTTTCAGGGTATCGCGCATTGCGTTTTCGACAAACCTTACCTGCCCTCAGCCCCCTCATTTTGCAATCCGGGAGACACGCAGCTCGCCTGTGCCATGTCACCCGCCCTCATTCGTCGGAAGATCTCCAGGCCTTACGTGAAGCCAATGCTGTGTGTTGACCCCTTGCCATTTGGAGAACTCACCAAAAATAGCCGGGCGGGTGGTTTTTTACACGTCAAACGGTGCTAACGCGTTGAACTCGGGCTCAGACTCTCCTCTTTGGGCCGATCCCGGAATGGACTATCTTTCCCAGGCCTGATAAAGAAAACGGCAACCTCCCCGCGCGTCACACACGTCATACTGAACCTTGCCTCGTGAGTGACCCTCGAAACTCGGAGATCTCCTTTCAACAACTCGGATGCTCTGTGGTCGTGGGTCACCCGAAAGTGATCAACGCTTTGGAGCCCATCAGCCCTGATGCACACAAGCAAAGCGCACTGACCACAAAAACCGCATGGCGGTTTTGACTCTCCTCCGCGCTAAGCTCGTCAACGTAGGCCCATCCTGCAAGCAAAATACTGGGGTTTTGACAGTTGTTCCAACATGGGGAGCGCATTCAAAACAGCCAACCAACAGGAAATCCACCAGCCTTTGGGCTTCCATTTCAAAACCACACCGAGTTCAAGCAGGGTCCTTGCTCGATGAATGCCTCACGCATGTGAGCGCTCGCTTGGCCAAAGACTTAGCATTTCTACGCACAACCAAATCAGTACGTCTAAGACCGAATGGGCCTCTGCCCACTCGTAAAGCTGTGCGAAATAGTCCGATGCATAGTGTTCCTCGGTGTTTGAAAGCTGTTCTAGCCGTCCATCGCGCTAAAGCAAAACATCGTGGATGCACTAAAGATTTCCAAATCTGAGGGTGTCCGAAATGATATGTGCCTCAAAGAGTCAGGACCATCCCATTGAAATCCAAGCCACCTGACAATCTGCGCACTCATGTGCGGAGAATTGATGTGAAACCCCACCAGCCTCACATCCTCCTGGATGCTGTCAATAAACACCTCCAACGACACATGCAACACATGTCCTAAGATCACGAAAAATGGGCGCCTGTTTCTCGCTCTCAGGGTTGGTGTCATCGAATCGCAAGTTACAACGTCCACCAAACTTCTGAGCCTCAGTCATGCCGAATTCAAGCATTCGAATCATGTGCGTTCGGCGTGTAGTGAGGTCCCGGCAATGCCAAAGTTGAGGCAAATTGACTTCACGTGGCCTTTCATAGTGGAAAATTGATTGCACGTAGAACTTGTCACGTTCCTCCTCTCCCAACTCAACTGTTGTGCAAGTTCCAAAATGGGGATTTGCCCAAAACCACCTGTTGAATCATCGCTGGGTGACGATTACTGGAAGAGTGGCCTGTGTTTGGGCGTGCTTGGCAGACTGAGACTCGGGCCGATATGAAGGAAACCATTGGGTTCAGGAGGGAAACGGGTGCGGACGCGACCTGTGTCCAGCGTTGTTTTTTGCATGAGCCACCAACACGTGATTCAAATTTCTTCCAAACAAACATGGCACGACATAGAAACACACCGGAAATAAAATATGCCATATGTTTTCCCAAAATCTACAGCAGGCCGGTGGTGATACATGCGATGCACGCGACATTCCATGATGCCTGCGTACGTCCCGCTCTCGATGTCGCGCACCACGATATCCTGGGCAGTCAGTTGGCCTATCAATCCTACATCCAAACAATCAACCACAGGGTTCCACTTTTTGACTACCCCAGTGTAGATTTAAACCCAGGGGTGGTTCATTCCCCCCCAAAAAAAAAACCTGGGTGTAAGTCTATCTTGGGGTAGTCAAAAAGTGGAGCCCTGATCAACCATGGTCATGGCCATGGTCATCAGATTCGCACCTCCACGAAATTCCCCGCTTCAGCTGTTTCACTGCTGGCCTGCCGCAACAAAGTGGTGCTAGGCATGGAGGGCAAGTTCAATCAAACATGTTGCAGTGGAATGGAGGTGGGCAAACAATGTTTCAGGTGCACGTGCCTTCAAGGTCACAGGGCGAATGAAACCTCAGGTGGTGAGAAACATCATTTGAAGAAACCCAGAGTCCCAGAGTCCCGCCAAATCAGCAAACACGTGCGCCATGAATTATCCCAAACAATTTCATCGGCCTCGGGGAATGGACCAAGCAATGCAAACGAATCAACCGCACTTCGTGTTTGAATGAGGGCGCAAACATGTGCAGATTCAATGCCAGCAAAGCAACCACCACCAAACCCAGCGCCGCGTCTCCATCGGCGGATGCCACGATTTGCGCCTGCATGCTTCGCCAAAAGTGTCTGCGCAGTCCTCAAACATCACAACCCTGATTGCAGTGCATGATCTGAGACTGCCACTAAGCAGCAATGCAGCGCAGGCAGCCTTTGAGACATGGAAATGAAAGCCCAAACAAACAAATTTGATGACATACACACAGACACGCAAACCGTGCAACTGTAATCAAGGATGCGTCATGCCAATGGTTTTCAACAAGGCCTGAGATGAATAATTGGTGATGCAGCGCCACTTTCGCGACGTTTGCCTGCCGACATCAGCGCGGCTGCAATGCGATGCGAATTTGGGCAGGCCTTTCTATGCTCCTAGTTCCGACAGGCAGGCCTGAATGTCAAATCCAAACTGGCCTTCACCACATCAATTGACTTTGGGACGGACAATTTCGCCATTGCCCTGCAGCGGGAGGCCTTGCCAACATTTGGTGTAGCTGTTTTGACATGTGATGTTGTGCATGTTTGTCGTCAAGGTTGCACCTTTCAGAACTGGTTGCTGTAGTCGTGTCCCAGGCATCACCAACTCGGAATACTCCCATATTGAACAACCAGGAAAAGAACCATTCCATTTTGTGTGTTGACGCCCTATGCAACCTCGTCTTGAAGTTCGAGACGCCGCTGGGTGACTTTCAAGCGAACACATTCTCTCTCCAAGCCGAAAACTGCTATGGTGTTTTAATTGCCGCCCTGCCCCCCCCCCCCACCATGCACGCACATGTCAAGGTCATGTGATCATGTCTGTTGTTTGTCGCTTGGGATTGGGATGCCTTCGAACTCCGGTCTTTGCCAGATACTTTTTGAGACTTCTTGGCCTTGGGCAAGCCTCCCAATGATTTAGGAAGGTTGCAACTAGAATCGAAACCTGACGACGGAACTTGGCAATGTTCCGCCAATTCCGCATCTAAAGCGTCGAATTTAGCATCCCTTGAAGCAACTGAAACCTCGTTTTCTGAAATTGAAACATCTCGGCCAGGCGACAATTCCGCATCTAAAGCGTCGAATTTGGCATCCCTTGAAGCAACTGAAACCTCGTTTTCTGAAATTGAAACATCTCGGCCAGTCGATGGCGGGAGCTCGATTTGTTTCAGCAAGTCGTGGGCAAAGGCATCTTCCCAGCCAACGTCGGAATCAGGCATACGCACATGTACCTCATCTTGGCGATGGCTTCTGCCCAACACCTGCGGTGGAACATCGACATGGACCTTGCACCCCGCTTCTTCCTTTTTGGCCTCCTCACGTATGGGCTGGGCAGGCTGAGCCAGCTGGGCCCGCTGGTCTGGCTGGGCCGGCGGCTGGGCCGACGGCTGGGCCGGTGGCACCTGCGAGCTGCGGGAAGGGGCGGCGCCAGACTCACTCTCCAACCTCCGCACGGCGCTCTGCAGCGTGGGGTTTCTGCGGGAGCGTGGCTCCAGCAGCTTCAGCCGATCTTCTGGGTCCACTTCAGCAGCCAGCGACCCATAGGCGCGGACCAGGTGGTCGATGTCGTCGTCCGCAGCTGATGTGACCTTGGCATAATTGGCCTGCACATTGTTGCCCTGCTTCTTGCGGAAGGCAAATGGGTCAAGCCGTCCTTGGGCAACTTGGACAGAACCGTGTGTTTATTGTGATGAAGTATGCCATGCAAGCATGTAGGCCCAATCATCCCTATCGTTGGTGAGTGTTGAGGGCTTCTTGCTTTTCCGAGTTTACTCAGTCAACTGGTAAAGCATGGTGTTTAGCGTGAATCTGCTGCAGACTGTCCCCCTTTCACTTACCAAGATGTGGAAGCTGCCACATTCTCCGGAATTCTTCCGGGGGGCTGATCGGAGCTTGGTAGCCGGTCAGCAAGATCCGGTGTGTCGCAGGTTCAGCACTGGGCTCCTGGAGGGGAAACAGGCTTGGCTAACGCCCGCGATGGACAGGGTGCCTTCACTTCCACTAATGGCTGTGTCATCTTTAAGGGTACCTCTTCTTTTGTGCTCTTTTTCTTTGGGGGTGGGGGCCCCCTAAAAAACACAGACCCATACGCAGTGCCGTCCTGCAAGTGCGGGTCAGCCCTCAAACCTTGCATTGACGCAAGGGTCCATGCACGCAACAACCGAAAGGCCGTGCCCGTCTCACAAAAGCCTTGCCATGAGCTCACACAAACAAAAGGTCAAGATACATGATAAATGGAATCAAGCCACGGCTCCGGCGAACAAAGTCTCGGCAGCAGCAAATGCCCGCGCAAACTACGACACAGCATCCTGCGGGCGTGCTACTTCAGAGGGGTCTAGCAGACGGTCTAGCTCGCTTCTCGCCCCGCATGCTCTGAAGCTGCAAAAATGGTCACCTTTTGTGCCCTGAGATCCTTTCCTTCTCGCTCCGAGCCCAAGATATCTCCGCAAGACTTCAGGTTTGACCCCCGTAGCAGCCCTCAACAAGCAAGTTTGAATGAAAACAATTTCCACAATGTCTCCTTCGCGTAAATGGAACACTCTTGCTGCTAAATGCCTAGGTTTTATATCCATGGAGGCCCTGCTCCCTCATCAAAGTCCGGTCTATCCCTCCCTCCTTGCAGGTGCTTGATTGAGCCCCTTCGGGAATTGGAACCCGGAAGCCTGCACATCTGCCTTCTGCTTCCCTTGCTGCCGTCTGGCAAATCCTGGTGCTTGCTAGTTGGGATGGGAGGGGCAGGTCACACAGCTCTCACTATGCCCGTAGATGCCGGTGTGAGGGCATCATGCTCCATCTGCATTGCTGAATGGAACCTGCGTGATTTTCAACCAGGGGTCATCCAAATCAGGCAGCGGCTCGCTGATCGCCAAGGCCGGACAAGCAATGCATGGCTTTTTGATTCGAAGCTTTGCCTCTGCTACCCCCCTCAACCGCCCACTCCCCCTCCCCTCTCCCCCCTCCCCCCTCCCCAGCCCGCCCTGCATGCGCCTGAGCAGCCGAGCGCCAGCACCAGGATTTGCCTCGGACTCAACACCTTGTGTCATGTTCAGTCCTCACGAGTGTGCCTTCTTTGCTATGTCATGCTGTTACCTATGCATTACGCTCCACTCACTTGCCAGGTGGCTCGTTGGTCTGGGCCATCTTACAGACAGGGCCATCGCTAGCCCCGCATCTCCGTCGCACCGGTTTTGTACGGACAGGGCAAACACTGGCTCGTGGTCATGTCATCTCGTTTCACTCACGCGGCTTTGCAACGGCATAGCGCTTTTGTTGGGCAGTTCGAGATATGCTCGCCGGCTGTCTCAAATCTTGACCAAGGAGCGCAGCGCAAATGGCACTGAGCATGATGCACACAACCTCCGCAAATAGTGCAGTCAAGCATCCGAAGGTAGCCTCGCCAGCAATTCCAAGATGTGTTTTTTTGCCTTTTTGGGTGAACATCGATGCGCTAGAGCTGCATCATTCTACTTATACGTTGGCGTTTGCAAGCAGGGTTGCCTCACGGGTATCAGCCACCCATAGCTCCGACCCAATTCCGCAACAAAAAATGCGCTCAAGACCAAGTGACCATCTTCAACACCGTCTCACAAATGGGGGCTGAAATTCCGACGTGAGGCATGCCGGCACTGACTGAATGCCAGGAACCAGCACACAAAATGCTTTGATTCCCAGGCTGCTTGCAAGTCGACCATTTGGCTCATGGTACGTGAGAAACCAGCTGAAACCTCTCATGGCGCATAGTTTAGCACGCTCAGAATTGGAACATGCAACCTGCACAATTGCTTCGTCCGGTTGGCCATTTTGCCAGGCTTCCACGCTGAATGCAATTGTGCAGTGCCTACGCGATGCGGTTGCTGCGTGGTCAGTGACACGGCTGGCCGGCTATTGCCTGACTTGATGGATCCACGAGGCTCATGTGCTCACTTGCCGCTCTGTGGGAAACTCTTGGGACTTTGGCAGCACTTCCGGCCCTGCAAAAATGGCAATCAAGGAACAAGCGGGAAATGACGGTGCGCTTACCCCACGGCAGCAAGCTGTGAAGAATGCACTTAGCTACCGAACAGGCTGCTCGCTGCCGCGGGGCCAACTGCGGCAAAGGATGCTCGCAGCACCAGCACTTCAAATTCAGCCCAATCGTAGCGCTGTACATGCAGCGTGCCCATTTCAGGGTCCGCCTTGGCCTCTGTCAGGTCTTCGTTCTTTTTTTGCATTTGTGCACGCAGGGTGCGTGCGTGCAAAGAGTTTCCTGAGCCGAGCAGGGCAAAAGCACGACGCTTTGGAAAACCAAGCTACTTGCCTCAAATCAAGCAGAGGCAAAAAGGATACCTTCACGAGAGCCCCTCTGGCCCTCTATTTTGTAGCACGCCGGACATTCCCTGAGAGCTGAGGGACCCACATTGGCCACTGCGCAGAGGCGCAGCAAGTGCATGCAAGCGCGGTCAGTGAAGCAAGTAGTACCTTGCTGGCTGAATCGGAGAGCCATGGCAGCGATGGTGGACAGAGGCGGCAAATTCCGGTGGCTTGGCGGCTTCCCTACTTGCCCTTTGCCCATTCTGCCCGCACTGAGGAGCAAACAGTCGGAGAGCCACCCAGGCATCCAAAGCCTGACGGCAAGCCCCGGCCCGGCATGGGCGATCAAGCCCAACTTGTTCCGAGGGCTGCGCTGCATAGTGGACCTGTTCGGGCCTAGGGGCGAACTGGAGAATCAAGGGGCGGGACCCTGCGATCCTGCGGATGTTTGAAAGGGCTTCCAACCGTAAGCAAAAAGGGCCTCTAATCCTGATAGAGCGCCTGCACACCAGGTGAAGCTGAGTTAGGGCTTCAAACACGCTCCCAGATTGTGCAACTGCGCGGACAGGCCCGGACGTCAACTGCACGCTGGACCAGTCGGAGCAGGCACATTTCTTGTCCTGTGGCACACAGGCATACCAGAAAAGTACCCGCACCGCGCAAGGCCAGAGCACAAGAGCCACTTTGAATCTATCTCATCCGCCAGCGCTCGCATCAACCCAGAAAACCAGTAGCCACAAGCACTTAGTGGGCAAATTCAAACAAATATAAGGCGAAGCAATCGGCCCGAAATCCAGTCCTTGAGAAGCTCGCAACTGAGCAGCTCTCTGGCCGCCCTTCGAAGGCTCAAGGACCTGAGGCTTCGCATGGCCTTTCGATGTGGCCTGTGACATTTTTCCCCGCAACCGGAGGGACAAAAATGGCGCAGCTCTTATCAAAAAATCCAGGTCGAGCCCATCAAAGCGAGCCCAGCAGTTAAATGCTGGACAACAGAAAAAGAGAAAAAGGGCGACATGGATCCAATGGCTCAATTCTCAGATACTGAAGGACTCCACTGGAGCTCGAGCCCACGGAGCTCAAGCGAATCTGAGTCCGTGGCTCCACGCCCCACTGCAAGCCCATGGATTCTCCGCACCTACTGCGGCAGTCGAACCCTTCATGCAAAGCTGGACTCGCAGCGCCTGTCACGCACGTCCACCACGGACCCCTGGCACGGGCGGTATGCCAACACGCTCGGTGACACTTTGCTGGGCGCCGGCCCTTTTGCCATTTGGCGGGGCCAGGCAACCACAACAAAGCCTTGCTCAGCGGCCTGGGTCACTGCGATGCCGGTGCGGACAAGTTTCTGCGCATCCTGCAGTGAAGTTCGTTGCGATCTGGAAGGAACATGGCACAGCTTTTAAGCGGCTTGGCAAAAGTTAGTCTGCCCCCCTCCACCCCAACAGATTATGGCAGTGGGGATGTGGTACAACTTGGCTCCAGGAGGAAGCCCAAGCCCCCAGACCCCAGTTTTGAGAGAACCTTGACCCCACCGTTGCGAACCACAGCGCATCTGCCCGCCTTGGCATGTACAGCAAAGCCCACCTTCAGCACCTCTGCATAAACAAGTAACACGGCCTGCCGTGACGGCCGTGCGAAGAAGAAAAACAACTTGCAGGATGTCTTTGGCTTCAGCTTGACTTCTTTCTTGCTCCTTCTCTTCTTTCTGGCTTCCCAAGGGGCCACTCAAGCCTCCAGGCCACTTCCTTCCGCTTGCCCTTTTCAGGCCGCAGCATTTGGACTCCGGACTGAGGCTGCGGCATCCGGATTCACAAGCATCAGCTTCACTTCCTGGCCAGGAACGCCCTGCCAAAGGGCCGAGCCGTTGCCGGCCAAAACGGCCTGTGGAAGCTTGTTGTCCAGCGGGCCAAGCTGCACCACGTACACCTTAAGGGCACCGCAAGAGAGGAGAACTTGCGGCCAAGCCGAGGCTTCCGCTCTTCGGGAGGCTGGAAAGGCCTAAGCCAGACGGGTGCCAAAAAATGGCACGCTCTTGTGCAGGGCCGCCCTCGTGCCACTTTCCTCTTGGCGGCAAGCCAGCTGCAGAACAGAGATCGGGTTGTCCGAGCCGTACCCGAAGTCTGGCACCCACCTGGACTCACTTGACTCACTCGCTGTGATTTGGGTGACTCTACCCATCCAAAAAGGGAAACCAAAAGGGAACACCGCGATCCACCTTGGGGGTCCAACCTGCAAAAAAAACAGCGCACATTTCTTGGAAGCACTTCGATAGTGCGCTCCCTCAGGCTGCGGCTCTGCATCGAAGGCCACCACATCTGCAGTTTGTGAGTCACGGCACAAGGACGCCTCAGCCCGCTCTTGCGGCTGGCGGCTGGCCACAGTTCAAACGGCACGGCCAATTCATGGCGCTCGAGCAACACACCGAGGCTCCAGCATAGGATCCACTGCTGCTGCTGTTGACCACCTCGACAACGAGCTCTGAGGCGAGCTCAAGAGCCGCGGAGAGGCATCCATCCCTTCTTGATTCCATTTGAAACTGCATACAGCACGTGCACATGCCGAATGGAACGAGCTGAAAACGCCCCGAGGCTGAGCCCCGGAGCCAGGATTTCCTTCGGCTCGGCTGGAAGGGACGCAAACCTCAGCCGTCCCTCGCCCCATGGCTTTGACCTGACCCCATGAAATGTGGGCTCCAACCAAACCGCGGCTCGCTCCCAAACAGTGGTGGCCGAAGCTTTGCAAAAGTGGGCCGGCCAAAAACAAATACCACCCCTAAGCTGGGGTGGTGTTTTGGGAGCACCTCCTAACAAAATCTCGCCGGCACCAAGGCGCAGGCATGGCCATGCCAGTTTGCCAAGGCTGGTCTGGACTTCGCTGCAGACTTTGTACCTGGACCCTTCCCTGCAACACCCCCCCTCGTCTGGACACCGGACGCAAGGAATCGCCCACACGGGAGGGCGCCATTGGTGCGTCCTGGCTCCAAGTTTGTA